AAAAAAAAAAAAAAAAAAAAAAAAAAAGAAAAAAAGAAAAGAATTGGCAAACACACACATAGTTTCCAACTTAAAATGGAGCCAAGGAAAGGCTGGAGACACCCAGCACTGCAGCTCACCTGGGGGAGCTGCTTCCCCGCCCCACAGTCATCTCGAAGGGGCGGCTGAGGAGGACCCCAAACTCCTCTAGCTTTTCCTTAGCAAAGCCGAAAGGGTCACATGGTCAGTCCCATGACTCACACAGTGGCTCAGAGGAAGAGGAAGTGGACCCAGCGCTGGGGGAGGGCATTGGTCTGTTTTCAGGGAAGAACAGCCCCAGTGGGCTCCCAGGTGGAGCAGCTCAGCCCCAGGCTGGGCTTCCTTGGCCGCCCTGCCCTGCCGGGACCAGGCCCACAGGTAGCCACTCTTACGACGTGACTGTCTCCTGTCAGACACCACGGGCATGCCTGGGACCGGCGCCACACCTCACTTACCGCGTCCACGGTTCCACTCATTAAAATAAACTCCTTTGTGATGATTTCTACCATCTCTCGAACCTGCGAAGAAGAGCAAAACGATGAGTGTGGCCCACGCCCACCAGCCTGCTGACCCGTCAGGCCAGGGACGCCCGGGTCGGGAAGGGCAGCCACTTGGAGGACGTGGCAGGCGGAGCCCTCACCTGTCTCGGGTCGGCACTGGCATGGATGCACAGGAGGCCCGTGTCCTCGTAGCTGTGGTGATAGGAGGTCGCATTGTACATCCAGTGGTGCCTGCGGGGACGTAAGAGTCATGACAGGTGAAAAAGGGCTCGCCAGTATCAGGCCATGGGAAACTGGGGAATCATTGAAGGCGGCCTCGCGGTTCAAACACACGCGTGGCCTGGCCTGAGGGTACAGAAGGGCAACCAACCTGTTGAGCACGTTCAGGTAGAGCCTGGAGAACATGCCCTTGCCGGGCCCGCCGGCCGAGAAGGAGCCGCCTCCCCCCATCATCATGTTCAGCACAGCGAAAGGGATGAAGTCCTCCTCCTGCGGGCCGGAGGACAGAGCGGAGCAGGAGCCCCGTCAGACTCCAGAGACGAGGGCAGAGCTGGCTGAGCAGCCCACACTGCGTCAGGGGCGCCACCAAACCCAGCTCTAGACTCACCAGGAAGGAGCAGCTCTCTAGTCCAACCATGATGTGCGTGAGCTCGGGGATGGGGGTTGGCCCCAGGCTGACGTTGGACATGTCCCTTTCCACCTGTAGCCAAGAAAACAGCCAAGTGAGAAACAGAAAGGACGGGCAAACCCCAGATCAGGTCATATTCAGAGCGGTTATACAGGAATCCAATGCCAGCCGGGCACGGTGGCTCACACCTACAATCCTAGCACTTTGGGAGGTCACAGTGGGCAAATCACTTGAATCTAGCAGTTCAAGATCAGACTAGGCAACATTGCGTAACTATTTCTACCAAAAATACAAGTTAGCTAAGCATGGTGGCACACACCTATAGTCTCAGCTACTCAGAGGCTGAGGCAGGAGGCTCGCTTGAGGCCGGGAGGCAGAGGCTGCAGTGAGCCAAGATCGCACCACTGCACTCCAGCCTAAGCAATAGAGCAAGACCTGTGTCAAAAAAAAAAAAAACCAAATTAACCGGATGTGGTAATGTGCGCCTGTAGTCCTCATTACTCGGGAGGCCGAGGTGGGAGGACTGCTTGAGCTCGGAGACTGAGGCTGCGGTCTGCTACAACAGCACCACTGTGCTCCAGCCTGGGAAACAGAGTGGGACTCATCTCAAAAAAAAAAATACCAAGCTGCACCCAGTGGCTCACCCTATAATCCCAGCACTTTGGGAGGCCAAGGCAGGCAGATCATGAGCTCAGAAGTTTGAGACCAGCCTGGCCAACATGGTGAAATCATGTCTCTACTAAAAATACAAAAATTAATCGGCTGTGGTGATGGGCAACTGTAATCCCAGCTACTCGGGAGGCCAAGGCAGGAGAATTGTTTGAACCCGGTGGAGGTTTCAGTGAGCTGAGATCACACCACTGCACTCCAGCCTGGGTGACACAGTGAGACTCCATCTCCCAAAAAAAAAAAAAAAATGCAATGCAGGCCCTGCAGATCCACCCCCTTGAGGGAAGAACGGTGCCCACCTTCTGCAGGCGTGGGGGGCGCTGCACTCAGGCCCAGCAGCGAGCAAGCACCCTCAGCAGGGGACACAGGCCACGCCCCGCTATGAACTGCAGTAAGTGGTCAGGCAAAGCCACAAGTGCGGTCAACGCCCACTGCCCTCAGAATCAACACAAAGCACGTCAGGACACAGGCCCGGGGACGCGTCTACCACCAGAGGCCGTGAGATGTTCCCACCACGTCACCTTGGCAATCCCCCCAGTGTACTGGGCCACGGATCTGTCAACATCCACGGCCTCCACGCTGCCCCAGGCCGGCTGGACCCCCAGGAGGTACTTGCGGGCACATTCCACCAGGAGCTGGTGCTCCACACCCACGCCGGCCAGCACCATGCGGTCAGGGGTGTAGTAGTTCCTCAGGTAGGAATGCAGCACTTCCCGACTCATCTTTGCTATGTTTTCTGCAGGGCAGAAACGGTGGAGGCCAACTGTGTTCTCCCTGTAAGCTGCCTAATGGGGAGGAGACAGACAGGTGACTGAGACAGCGCGACAGGCTTCCTCTGGCAATCAGCACCGCCGCCTGCTCCAGCTGGGCCCTGGAAATCCTATGCGAGCTGGTATTTTAGCTACAGTTTGGCAACAGCGGCCGGTGTGTGTATTTACAAAAATAGTAAAATCTGTCTCTCAAGAATAAAAATTCACAAAAACTGTAAGATTAACTGAAGTAAAAACCTAGTTACTGTAAGAATTGGAAAATACAAACACTGCATAAATAGCAGACTCAGAAATCAAGAGTGGGCCAGGCGCTGTGGCTCATGCCTGTAATCCCAGCACTTTGGGAAGCTGAGGAGGGTGGATCACCTGAGGTCGGGAGGTTGGGAGTTCGAGACCAGCCTGACCAACAAGGAGAAACCCCGTCTCTACTAACAATACAAAATTAGCCAAGCGTGGTGGCGGGCGCCTGTAATCCCAGCTACTTGGGAGGCTGAGGCAGGAGAATCGCTTGAGGCCAGGAGGCGGAGTTTGCAGTGAGCCGAGATTGTGCCACTGCACTCTAGCCCGGGCAACAAGAACGAAACTCTGTCTCAAACAATAAGAATGTTCTAAGCTGGGCGCAGTGACCCATGCCTATAATCCCAGAAAGCTGGGCGGCAGAGGCAGCAGGATCACCTGAGCTGAGCCAAGGAGTGCGAGACCCGTGCAGGCAACATAGAGAGGTCTCAGCTCAAAAAACAAAAACTAAACTGTTCTGTGCACACCCAAAACCTGCAAGGACAAGAGCAAGGAGGCAAGCAGCCCCTCCCCCCGCCCCAGTGCCACTGATCGGGATGCGGAGGCATTCGCCAGTTTGACGTTTTACTTCGTGAATCATCTCGGTGAGGAGTGGCTCTGGGTCGGGCCGCATGTTCAGGTCCTCCAGCTCAAACTGGACCGCCATCCGCGTCATCTCCACCTCTTCATCTGCAAGAGAACCCAAAGATGAGGGCTCAGTCTGCACAGGCACAGATGATGAACACGGCAGTGCCCCGGAGCCTGTGCGCTGGGCTGAGTGTTTGCTTCTTGGTGGCTGCTGGCAGTCACTCTGCCTTCAGCTAGGGGCAGGCTTGGTACTTGTATGAGTAAGGGGGGCTGCCATGGAGAGCAGGAGCTGGGGGGCCGGGGCCTAGGCCTCTCATCCCACATCAGCCACAAGGCAACCACGTGGGCCTGCTAAGCTCTGGCTTCCCTGCTGGTGAAAGGCACTGAGGACACTGACCTGTCCATCCCAAGTGCTGCTATGAGGACACAAGAGCAGACACCGAAGTGCTTATAAAGAGAGGCACACGCCGGGGATGGTGGCTCATGCCTGTAATCCCAGCACTTTGGGAGACTAAGGCGGGTGGATTACCTGAGGTCAAGAGTTCAAGACCAGCCTAGCCAACACGGTGTAACCCCATCTCTACTAAAAATACAAAAATTAGCCGGGCGTGGTGGCGGGCGCCTATAATCCTAGCACCCCTGACATCTGTCTGTGCCTCTGTTTCTTTTTGGTTTTTTTTTGGAGACACAGTCTCACTCTGTCGCTCAGGCTGGAGTGCAATGGCGCGATCTCTGTTCACTGCAACCTAGCTCCTGGGTTCAAGTGATTCTCCTGCCTCAGCCTCCTGAGTAGCTGGGACAGGCAACCACGCCCAGTAAATTCTTTTATCTTTTTTGTTTAGACAGGGTTTCGCCATGTTGCCCAGGTTGGTCTCAAACTCCTGGGCTTAAGCAATCTACCTGCCTGAGTCTCCCAAAGTCCTGGGATTCCAGGTGTGAGCCACCGTGCCCGGCCCCAGCCCCGTTTCTCGTGGATCTCGCTGTCACTCTGTGTTGGCCTAAAGCTCCAATAACACAGAGCTCTTCCTCACGCTGCAGCGCCTCCACAAACCCTTCCAGTCTTCCCTACGTCCAGGCCCACCTCAAACGCCAGCGGCTGGGATCCGCACCTGTTAGCCGGGGCTGCAGAACCACGTCGGCCAGTAAGCCGACCACCGTGTCCAAGCCTTTGCTGTCAGCAGACACAGCATACATGGTAGTGTCTCTGGAAGAAAAATCAAACCGACAGTGGCGGGTCCTGAGCTCACACTCCGCTGAACAGGCGAGAGATATTCGGGCCTGGCATGCCAGGGGGCACTTCCTACCCTTTTGTTGGGGACTAACAGACACTTTCCCCTTTCCCTTTTCCTGTCTTAAGGTGTAAATGCTTGGGAGGCAGGACTCACAGCTACACACAGCTTCAGTCAAAATGGAGCCACTTCTGAAAGAGGTTTTTGTAACTGCAGTCTCTCTCAAAAGGTGAAGTGTTTCGTCCCAGCCTCCCGTTTCCTGAACGAACCCCACTGGTCAGTATGAAAACATGCCCCGCCTTGGATGGCTCGAGGGACAGCAATGGCTGGCTCGTACGGAGCTTCTGTCTTGATTTAACATCTGTTCATAGCATGAGACACTGCACACTCAGAAGCGGACAGAGCTAGTCTGTGGAGCAGGCACGGAATCATGGGGTGATCTGAGATCAAGTGTGATCAAGTGAGACCATGCAGAACAGACAAAACAGCCGTGAAGAAGAGGGAGCGTGGGAGGCAGGATGCGGTCACCAGTGCCTCTGAAGAAGAGACTTGCCTGGACCTTCATCCTGAAGAGGAGCCAGTTGCAGTGACCCCAGCCCACGTGGGGAGAATGGCAGGAACAAAAGCCTGAGCTGAGGGCGAGGGGCTGGGTCTGAGTCAGGACACCGGCCACCTGGCCGGAGAAGGTGTTCATCTGGGAGGAGTGAGATTCAAGGCAAGAGTGGGAGGACCTCACACACCAGGCAAGGGCGGCCGGGAGGCAGGGGGTATCAAGAAGCCTTGTTTAGAACGTATGTTATCTCCACGCTAACTTAATTCTTAGCATTTAATGTGGGTTTTTTTGTTTGTTTTTTTTTTTTTTTTTTTTTTT